CTTCTAGGGTCCCTGTTGCCTCCTGAATATGTGCATAAGTAGATGCATATGTTCAATTTGCCAACTATATTTTGCTATAATTAATTCCTATTTGTCTATCTAACATCTAATGATCTATTGATTTAACTATCCATCCGTCTAATCATTTTCATATTGCGAGACAGTTAGATTGTTTCCAGTTTTTAGCAAAACGAGGAGCAAGCCAGCAGTGAACATTCTTGTACACACTTTATCATGTACATGGTATGGGATTTTTGCATGTACCTGGAATTGAAACTGGTGGGCAGTAAAGGATGTCTACCTTTAACTTTATAAAAATCTTCAAAATTGTTTTCCAAAATTTTTACAAATAAATTTAGTTCCCCACAAGTAACATACAGTCGACATTATCAGACTTCAAATTTTTTCCCAATCTAATGGGTGTGAAATTTATCTCCTTATTATTTTAATTTACATTATCTTGATTAGTAGACATTACAAATGGGGAGGTATGGTTTCAAAACCTTATAGGCTATTTGGGGTTCCTTTTCTTCAAACTGCTATTTTTGCCAGTTATTCTACTGGGTGGTTTAACTTATTTATTAGTCGTGTCCTGAATATAAATACGTTTTTGATCATACACATTGCAAATATCTTTTTTTTTTTTTTGAGATGGAGTTTCGCTCTTGTTACCCAGCCTGGAGTGCAATGGCGCGATCTCGGCTCACCGCAACCTCCGCCTCCTGGGTTCAGGCAATTCTCCTGCCTCAGCCTCCTGAGTAGCTGGGATTACAGGCACGCACCACCGTGCCCAGCTATTTTTTTTGTATTTTTAGTAGAGACGGGGTTTCACCATGTTGACCAGGATGGTCTCGATCTCTTGACCTCGTGATCCACCTGCCTCGGCCTCCCAAAGTGCTGGGATTACAGGCTTGAGCCACCGCGCCTGGCCCATTGCAAATATCTTTCTATGGATTGTCATTTATCTTCATGGTATTTTTGGTCATGAGGTTTCAAATTTTAATGTTTTCAAATTTATCAATCCTTTTCCCTCATACTATGTGCTTTATGAGTCTGTTTAGGAAATCTTTTTTAACGTACAATCATAGAGATCTGATCCTATATTTTCTGATTTTTTTTCATTCATTTACATTTAGTAACCACTACAACAAGGCAGTATGTTGATTGCCAAAAATACAAATATGAACTAAAGTCCATAGTTTATATTAAGGTTCACTCTGTATTGTATAGTTCCATGGGTTTTGATCAATTTATAATGTCATGTATCCACCATTATAATATGATACAGCATAGTTTCATTGCCTTAAAAATCTCCTGTGCTCCATTCTTCCCTCCCTCTCCCAGAAAACCTGGTAACTACAGATCTGTTTTACTGTGTTTCTAGTTTTGCTTTTTCTAGAATGTCACATACTCCCAACATGGCTTCTTGTGACTTGGTCCTTCATTTCTGTTTATCACTCAAAGTTCCATTTTATGGATGTAGCACAGTTTTTATTGTACATTCAAATATTAGCTTGGTTGCTTCCAATTTTTGAGTTATGAATAAAGGTGCTAGAAACATTAGTGTGCAAATTTCTGTGTGGATATAAGTCTTCAAGTCATCTGGGTAGATACCAAGGAACATGATTGCTAGATTGCTAGATTATATGTTAAGACTCTGTAAGAATCTGCCAGACTGTCTTCCAAAATGGCTGTACCATTTTGCATCCTACCAGTGATGATAGTTCCTCTTGACATCTTCATAGCATTTGGTTGGCGGTGTTTTTGATTTTAGCAATTCCAATAGCTATGTAATAGTGTCTCATTGTTTAGATGTTGAATATGTTTTCACACGCTTTTGTGCCATCTGTGTATCTTCTTCGTGAGATGTCTCTTCTGATCCTTTGCCCACTTTAAAATTGGGGTATACTATTGATAAGTTTAAAGAGTTCTTTGTACAGGTCGAATAGAAGTCTTCTATTGAATATGTTTTGCAAATATTTTTTCCATTCTGTGGTTTGTCTTTTCATTCTCTTAACTATCTTTTGCAGAGCAAAAGTTTGAAATTTTAGTGAAGTGTAATTTATCAGTTTTTTTTTTTTTCCATGGGTTGTGCTTTTGGTGCTACATCTAAAAAGTAACTGCCAAACCCAAAGTCACCTAGGTACCTGTTCTGTTATGTTACTTTCTAAGAATTGTATAGTTTTGTGTTATGTCTATGATCCATTTTAAATTACTTTTTGTGAAAGGTGTAATATCTGTGTCTGGATTTTTTTTTTTGGTAAGTGTATATCCAGTTGTTACAGCACCATTACTCAAAATTTGAATTGCCTTTTTCCTTTGTCAAATATTAGTTGACTGTATTTATGTGGATCTATTTCTGTACTCTGTTACATAGATCTATTTATTTACTCATCTGAGAATACTACACTGCTTTTTTTTTTTTTTTTTTTTTTTGAGACAGTCTCCCTCTGTGGCCCAGGCTGAAGTGCAGTGGTGCAATCTTGGGTCATTGCAACCTCTGCCCCCTGGGTTCAAGTGATTCTCCTGCCTCAGCCTCCTGAATAGCTGAGATTACAGGTGCCTGCCACCATGTCCTGCTAATTTTTGTATTTTTAGTAGAGACAGGGTTTTACTATGTTTGTTAGGCTGGTCTTAAATTACTGACCCCAAGTGATCTACCCTCCTTAGCCTCAATACTACACTCTCTTAATTACTGCAGCTTATACATTTTTTTTTTCCTTTTTCTTTTTTGGCAAAGTCTCATTCTGTTGCCCACACTTGAGTGCAGTGACTTGATCATGGCTCACTGCAGCCTCAATCTCTTGGGCTCAGGCAATCCTCCTGTCTCAGACACCTGAATAGCTGTGACTACAGGTATCCACCACCACACCTGGCTAATTAATTTTTTTTTTTTTTTTTTTTTTTTTTTTTAAGACATGAAGTCTCACTGCATTGCCCAGGCTGGTCCTGAACTCCTAGGTTCAAGCAAACCTCCCACCTCAGCTTCCCAAAATGCTGGGATTACCGGCATGAGCCACTGTACTCAGCTATACTGTCTTCAAGTCTGTCTGTCTGTTTTATGACTTTATTTTTCTTTAATATTGTGTTGGCTATTCTGGCTCTTGTGGCTTTGCAGATAAACATTGGAATTGGTTTGCTTACAATCTACAACATAACTAACCTAGGGTAATTAGAATTGAATCTGTAGATCAGGTTGATAAAAATTGATATTTCTTGCACATGTTTAAAGTTTCATTTTTAATATTGAGGTTTTTAATCTTCCCCAAATTAATTTTTATACATAATAAGAGGGAAGGATCAAATTTTTTTCTCATACAAAAAGCAATTGTACCACTACTGTTCATTGCTCAGTCTGGACTTTCTCACTAATTTTTAATGCTAATTTTGTTATATGCAAAGTTCTCATATGTGTGTAAGTTTTGTTCCAGGTCTTTTTTATGTTCTAGCGGTTTATTTGTCCATACCTAAACCGATATATAATAAATCCTGGTGGGAAGGGTCCTCCCAATTTATCCCCTATTCCTATGTCTCCCCATCTCTCTCTCCCCAATTACAGCGGTTTTCTTGGACCTTAAGTTTTGATATGAATTTCAATGTCACTTTAACAAGTTCAGTAAAAAAACTCTTTTTAGATTTAAACTGGAATTGCGTTATATATAATGATAGTTCAGGGAGAACTGAGGCCTTTCTATTAATCTTTTCTCATTTATGAATATGGTTTATTTCTCCATTAATTTTATCCATGGATCTTGTACATTTTTTCTTACTTTTGTTCTCAGGTACCTAATAGTTGTTTTTTTTTCTTCTATTTGTTAATGTATTCTTATTTACCATTACAAACTAATGCAGTTTCCAACATCATTTTCAATTAAATTATTTTACAGTTACAAAATATAGCTTTAAAATTCTTAAAATGTCAACTGCTTAATAAAAAATACAATTTATACAAAAATGCAAGAGATACTATCTGAAATGTGGAAGTATTAGTATAGTGATTTCTCCCCAAAGTGGAAGGAACACACAATCTAATGTTTCTAGTAGAAAATTATGGCCTAAATCTGGCCTGGCGCAATGGTTCACACCTGTAATTCCAGCACTTTGGGAGGCCAAGGTGGGTGGATCACCTGAGGTCAGGAGTTCGAGACCAGCCTGGCCAACATGGTGAAACCCCCTTTCTACTAAAAATACAAAAATTTTCTGGGCGTGGTGGCATGCTTCTGTAATCCCATTACTAGGGACGTTGAGGCAGGAGAATCGTGGAGGTTGCAGTCAGCGGAGACTGCACCATTGCACTGCAGCCTGAGCGACAGAGCGAGGCTCCGTCTCAAAAAGAAAGGGAAGGAAGGGAGGGAAGGGAGGAAGAAAGGGAGGGAGGGAGGGAAGGAAGGAAGGAAGGAAGGAAGGAAGGAAGGAAGGAAGGAAGGAAGGAAGGAAGGAAACCTAAACTTGAAAAATGTTATTTGCTGTATTGTAAAGCTCCATTTCCACCCGTTTTTAGTTTAGGAAGTTTACTGTTATCCGTGAAGTAATTATTTTGTGAATTACAAAGGTAAGTAAGTTCTTTCTGAACAATCAGAATGTAAACTTAATGCTAGTGAAGCAATTAAACATTCTGAATGTTAATTAAACTCAGTGCAGTTAAGGATTTTATTTACTACTAACATACGTATTTACCATGTACTAAGTGCTGTAGGGACTCCCAGCCCATTTTCCTCCATGAAAAAGGAAAACTAGGAGGCCCCAATACTTACTTAATGATTATCTAGTTTCTACCATTCCCTGTAAGGCACTGAGACGCAAGGTTTCGAGGCCCTCTTGGGGTACCCTGGCACCGACATCGAGTAGTTCTAGTGCTAAGCCTCAAAACTATTCCTTTTCTTCCCTTTCTTCTTTATACCAGACTTTAACCTGTTCTTCCCGGCTTCGCATAAGTCTCTGTCTGGTCGAACATCTTACTCCGCAAATAACTTCTCAAGGCAGTTGTCTTACCCAAATACCTGAGCTCAGCTAGTCCCGAGTACTGTGATCCCGTATGCTACTACTGGGAATATAGTTAACTCAACTAGTTTGCGGTCCCCAGTACACAGCAGCTCCAAGATCGAGGCAACCGAGTAACACTGCTTGCCTAGACTCAGGCCAAGTTCGGAGAGTGATCCTGAGATTCTTTCTGAACGTGTCCCTTGCTTCCCAGAAAAATTCGGTCGTAACTTGAGCCCAGAGGCCCACGACCATTCGGATCGGGGTAAGCTAAAGCTTCAGTGCCTCGCGGGGCTTGGCTGGGCTCAAGCTCATTCCTGAGAAGCAGCCCCGCTTTCCAGACCAGCAGTGCGCAGGGATGGGTGTGTGCTAACCGCAGGCCGCCAAGCCCAGCGCCGAGCAGTTGTCCCATTGTGAGCGGGGGCGAGAAAGCCCGCCTCGGCCCCCTGACGCAGCGCAGGCCCCGCCCCGCGCGTGACGCCGACGTCAGGCCAGCCCCGGCATGCTCCGCGGCCGCCCGCGGTCCAGCGCCGACAACAGGAATTTTCCCCGAGAGTGGCCCCGGCTCAGTTCAGCTGCTGTCCAGACCCGGATCGGCGACAGTGCCGCTTCCAGACGTTCTCCTGCCGCTCGCCCGCCCGTCCGAGCGCCCCCAGCCCTCCTGCGAGGGCGCCCCGGGACGGAAGGATCCACCAGTCTGTCGGCGCCCGCCGTTCTCGTGGTCGCCGTCGCCGTCGTCGTGGTGGTAGTCTCCGCCGTCGCCTGGGCCATGGCCAATTACATCCACGTCCCTCCCGGCTCCCCGGAGGTGCCCAAGCTGAACGTCACTGTTCAGGATCAGGAGGAGCAGCGCTGCCGGGAGGGGGCCCTGAGCCTCCTGCAACACCTGCGGCCTCACTGGGACCCCCAGGAGGTGACCCTGCAGGTAACGCCCACACCTCAGCTCTGCGTCCGTTCTGTCCCTCACGCGGCTCTGGGGGTCCTCACCACTATCGTCTCTGCTCCCCGCTGACCGAGGAGGACCTAGGGCAACGGCTCCTCCCTAAGTCCATTGGGAAGTGACCCCATATTTCCTCTCACATTTAGGAAGGTCACTCCCCCTTCCTGTCACAGTTGCTGATTGAGATTGACCAGAGGGCACATTTTCTCTTTCTCGAAGCGGCTGCGTAAGTGACGCACCCATCCACAGGGGGGAGATTCCTGTTGATAGTTGCCCCTCCTCCCACTCTCCAGTCCACGTTCACTGCAAAATTAATCTTTCCATTCCCCTTGCACGGGTTGTCGCTAGCTGGCCCAAGTAACCTCCTCCCCTCCCACCAGTAATGCAGTCATTAATCCTCTCTGATCTTTTCCTTCCTCTCCCCTCCCCCGGCGATGTGCTTTCACTGATGCCTCACACTGCGTTTTGTCTTCCCAAACCCTCGGACTGGCGAGAGTACTCTATTCCCAAAGTAATGACCACGACCATGCACCGCTAGCTCGGTTCTTAGGTACCACCATCCACATTGTTTTGCTTGAATCGATATTTCTGAATTATTAAAGTCGTCTTAGTGAAATTAATACCTGATACTAGAAGGAGCAATGGCTTGTGACGATTTCCTTTTCCTGAGACACCGTATTGCTAGATAGAGAAAAAATTGGGAGGAAAAAATTCCCTGAGACTCTAGGAGTTTTCTAATAACTTGAAAGTTATGATTTCTACTACATGATTTTTTTTTGAATACTAATTTGTTTTTAGTTTTGGAACTAGATACGAAAATAGATCTCTTTTTGTTCTTTTCCCTTGCAAACAAAAAACAGTAATTTTAAAGGCTGGGATATTTGGGATTTGTTCTAAATCTGAGCAATAATGTTAAGAACATTCATTTGAAGTAGCCAAATCATCTGCCTCGTTTTGATGACTGATTTATTCACCAATATTTATTGACTTATTTGCAAAATTATTTGCTAAACTAGCCAGCCACCCATACAAAGATGAATAAAACATGAGCAGTGCTTAGGGCCCAGAACAGTTCCTGACACTTGGGTTTTCATGTGTTAGTTTCAGTTCTTACTGACTAGAAGAGTTTTTAAGCAGATCAAAAGGACTCATATGTTTTAGAAAAGAAACCTGTTAGACAATATATTTTGAAATTTAAGGGAATATTTGTTAACCGAATATATAGGAAATAGCGAATGCAAGATAATTTTGTGTGTCATTAAAAAAATATATTTCCTTTAAAGGAAATCTGTCTTCCAAATTGAAATTCAGTACTTGTTTAGTTTATCAATTTATTTGTATTTTATTATGTAAGGCTGTAAAATTTAGTAAGATGATTTATTTTCTGACAGTCAGTTATACATAAAACAGATCATTAATTAAAGAGTGCTAGTTCCTGGTAAACTCTAGTATTGGCAAATTACTTTTAAGCAGCGACTTCAAAGTTTGAAGCTCTGAAGACTGTAATTTCCTTTGATGTATTTGTCTGTAGAGTAGTGTCGGGTTAAGTAATTTATATATATATATTTTTATCTTAGTTGCCCATACAACCCATTAAGTAGGCACTATCTCTTTTTTAGGTGAAACTCGGTGAAGTAAGCTAGGATTTAGGTAAAAAAGGGCAAAATGTAGTGACATTACTATTTTTGCTTGTTGGAAAGTAACTATGTGCGATTAAATCTTGGCTTCTCTGTAGCAGCTTTTAACCTAAAGACCTTTGAGTTTATAATCTGAATTTTTAATATTTGTTAGTGCAGGTAAATACTACCATTTATTTTCCCCTAAGACGATTATTAGTTAGAAATACATTCCCTCCATGTGCAAGCAAAGCTTTGGTCTAAAGCTGGTGTAAAAGCATCTGCTAAGCCGAATTGATGATTATTCACCTTTCAACTCAATAGAGCTGACTCCTTGCTTTCTAGGTCATTACAACTCTACTTTCATGATGCTTCTGAATTTCTTTAGTAAATCTCAATGGAAATACTTTCTTTTGAAATTTTATTGTGTTTCCCTTGAAGTAGAAAGATAAAAATCATACCGCACATTTCAGAAGGGGAAGTATCTATCATACAGTTAACAGATTATAGTGTAATTTTAGAGCAGTCAAATATCAGTATTTAGCCAGTTTTTTTCCTCAGTTTTTTTCTAACATTTTTGTATGCTTATACTTTAAAACATACTTTAGAAACTTACTGTAGTAATAAGTTGTCTGATGATTGATTATTCCTGCAAGCTGAACTATCCAGAACATACCAGAAAAAAAGCAAAAAAAGACTAATTATTAAAGAAAAAAATGATAGATGGCCTAGTCTTTGCTCAAAACTTGTGGGCACATGGAATAATATATCTCATTTTAGATAGAATTCCCGTTCTTACTAGATTAAAAGAACAAGTATAAAGGAGGTGGTGAGTTTTTTGGAGTAAAGTAACAGAACAGACAGAGTAAATCTAACACAACAATACCAGCCACAGTGCTTTGTATTTAATTATACTTTACTGTTTATAAAGCACTTTCACATGCATTCTCCCTGCTGCCCTGTGAGGTAGATGTAGACGGTACCGTTAATGCATATTGTATAGTTAATGAAACTGATTTTGCCATTTACAAATGGCAGATCTGAGATGAGAAACAATCTTATGAATTACTGTTCTTTGACCAATAGTTTTGTTTGTATATTATGATTAAGGCAGGGAAGGTGCTTCTGTATAAATTTAATTTATTAAAAGCTTTGGCTCATGAAGGATTCCGCCTTAAAGTTCCCTTGAGCATAAATTTGCATTACTTTTTTCATATCTGACACCATTTTAGGAAAAAGGGATCACATCAGTTTTCCTATACCATAATGACTTTTGTTGTGTAACAATTCTCTTAATTGAAGATTTTGATTTTTGATTTTAATACTTTTTTTTTGTACAGTTATTGTATAAAGGAATGAAGAACCAAGTCAGATCTCAGGTCCAAAATAATTCTCAATGGACTGTTAAAATTGTTTTTCCTTCTAAAAGAGCTGATGAATTAGTGTTTAGAATATTCCAGTTATGTTTTCTCAGGGTCTTTCTGTTAAGCAATGTAGTTTTTCTTACTAACTTGTCACTATGAATTTTTCCATTACTTGGGACCTAGAGTAGATAATGGCAAAGGTTTCATAGGTAGGATATTAAAACCATAATTATTATTTAACATTACAAAACTAATGTATTTATTCTTATTATGAGGTCTAAATGAGATTGCTTGCTATATGGTACTTACATAGTTACAAAACTCTATCAACTGAGTTTTTCAATAACAATATGTTACAGTGCTCAAGAGCATGGGGTTTGAACACAGTGCTGGTTTTGAGTCCAAGCTTTGTACTTTACTAGCTTTGTTACCCTGGTCAAATCATTAAACTTCCTGTCTCGGTATCCTTAGCTGTAAAATGGATCCAATAATTGTTCCTACCTCAATGGGTTGTTGTGAGGGTAAAATAAATGCTCTTTCATGATAATTATTATTGCTGCTGAGCACCTACTATATATTGGATGCTTGAATCAAAAAACAAATATCTGCTCTTTGAAATTCCTAGTCTGATGGGGAAGACAAATAAGAAAATTATAGCAATGTAATGTTTATGGAATGACCATTCAAATTTTGTTCACATGCAAAGATGACACAAGAAGCTTAAAAATGTACTGTTCTTTCTGTTTTACTACAGGTTTTTGCATGTTTTTGAATGCATATTTTAAAAAATATTTTCATTTTTTTTTAATCATATATATACTATCATGGAAACTAATCTTTCTGTTAGGTTGTGTAGCTACACAGCAGTTTTCATATCCTTCCTCTTTCTAACAGTGTTGGAGGTGGTTACCTAAATAATCTATTAAAAACCTGTAACCCACTTAATATTGATAGTTAATATTTTATATTGGTCTTTATCTTGAAGAATGAAAAGCCTTTATAGAGTTGCACTATTAAGTTATGTCTCCTTTAGTGTTCTAATATAATAATTGATTTTCTTTTCTGTCTTTTAAAAAATGAGTTTGTTACTTTAAGCAGTAACTGCTGAAAAGTCTTAGGTAAGCTAATATATTAAGTTATGGTTGGTTTTTTCATATATTAAAAAAGCAAACAGTATATTAGTTTACTTTCTCCAAGAATGTATGGGAATCTTGAGTCCTGTAGATACAAATAAGGGATCATAGTTTATATTCAGTGTAACTTTTAATATCAGTGGTTATATCCAGCTTTCTATTCCCTATTCTCTCCCTGTATTCAGTGTTTTAGAATAATAAAGTATATAATGTTTAATAGACTGCCATGAAGAACATGAAATGTTTGTTAGGCTCCCATGCATTTTATTAAGATGTGACTATGAAGTCAGGAGCCTACAGTGCTAGTTTGTTTTCACTTGTAATAGCCATGTGACTTGGACTGTGCAAACTGCGTCACCTTTTTTGGGGGACTGAGCATAATGTGAAAAGGAGATGGTTTTTGAATATTATTTCCAGCCATTTGTAACCCTTGGCAAGGTTTAAAATCTCTGTAAAATGGGATTACGTTGGAAAATAGTCAGGAGAATTAAGTGAAACACCTGCAATTACGCATAGCATGTTTTGGTACTGTATTCCTCCACCTCTTATTTCCAATTCTCCCATCCCGACTGAGAGAATTGTGAGCTCCTAAAATTCAGTAATTCTGACATGTGTTTTTTTGTACTAGGTATAATGCTAGTTTTCCGAAAGAGTTCTTGTACAACTAACTGTAGCACAAGATAGGCGTGGAAGAATGTGGGACAGAAGGCTTCATAGAGGTGGGGCTACCTGAGCTAAGCTTTGAAAGATAGATGAGATCACATGGAAAGGGGCAGCATTTCTGGGCAAGGAAAACTATCTCACAAAGGCAATGAAGCTAGACTTTGATTGAGTAGTTTGGTGAGTAGCTTACTCATCATTTAGGACATCAT